CAACCACTACGACGACGACGACTACTACTATTACTACTACTACTACTACTACTACTACTACAGCCACCACTACCACCACTTGCCGCTGCTGCTGCTGCTGCTACTACTACTACTACTACTACTACTACTGCTACTGCCACCACCACCACTTGCGCCTGCTACTACTACCACCACCACCACCACCACCACTACTACTACTACTACTACTACTACTAAGAAGATTCATAAGAAGAATAGTAATAGTAATCACAAGTATGACAACAATAGCAATAGCTTTTTAATCATAAGGCTAATGGTGTAGTGCACACAATACACATGTTATTTTTGTATGTTTGTAAATTCGCACCGTATGTAAATACATATTATAGACGAACACACAAAAGTATGAATGTGTGCTACGGTTTGTCGCAGTGGCAAAACTGGATCATATTGGAGGATGGGCCAGTATCATGTGACCATAGAATGATGCGCCATGATGTGCTGTAGGATATGTAGTTGCCTCTTATCGCATCAGATCTCAGTCCTCGCGTTAGCCATGGGCCTGAGATTGGGACGCATGCTCTTCAGGTTTTGTCCCACCCCGTCTCTTTGCGCGATGGTGTGCAACAAGTTCGGCCTGCGGCAGGTCACGTCGCTCCCATGGTTTGAGATTCAATCCGAGCAACATTCTGCTGGAACTTTATGTTGGCAAGAGCCCTGTGCCAGGACATACGGTCGTACAATCTCGGCGGCATGGGCTGCTCTGCAAACGTTCCATTCCCAGGGAGACGGAGCTTCTCAGCGCTTAGCGTCAAGTTGCCGACTGTGATGGCTCCTCGCATGTGGTCCTTGGCTAAGGTGATTTCTGTGGATCTTGCAAAGCAGCTGTTGGAGAACAGGCCAGGTTCTCTGGCGTTGGTGGTCTCCACAGAGACCCTTGGTAAGAATGGATGCTGCTTGTGCGTTGCCAATTTGAAGCCTAAACTGCTGAGACTCAACTGCTGTTTGGTCGATACTTGTTGCCGGCACCAGCTGTACTCCAGATGAGAGCATGTTTCGGCATCTTTCCCCGACCTTTTGCTGTGCCTGTCTGTCTCGCTTTGAAGCTGTTGGACTGGGAAGAAGGTGCCGTGGGTTGAATATGTAGGTGCGGCAGTGCTTACACGAGCTTCTTCGACTAAGGAACATCACACAAAATCTTTATCGAGGAAATCAGAAGTCGATGCTCCTGCAGAGCCTTGGATCTCCGCAAAACAACCAGACCACATCTATCTACCCATCCATCTAAGGTTTCGTTTGTTGTACTGTCTCCGGCATCTTAGGAACACCCTGTTTCGTTGTGGCGGATGCGCCTTAATGCTGTCAAGCCGGATGTCTGATTCGATGCGGGCCAAGTGCCCTGGAAGCATGTACAGCAGGCAAGTCCACACTGTCCACTGGCATATGGGGGTTTCCAAAAATTAGGGTACCTTATTTTGGGGTCCTTATAACAAGGATCCTACTATTTAGGGTACTATATTAGGGTCCCCTATTTTCGGAAACCCCCATATGGAGCCCTGGAGGTACAAGCTCCTGTATACCTTCCGCACACATCTCTCAGATGACAATTCCTACAACTGTGTCTTCCAGAAGGAGGACAATGAAGGAAACAGCCTGAGGCTTAACCTGTCGCCTTGCTGATCCCCTTTTTTCAATTCACAAGCATCGGCAATTCCGAGGTGGCGTGGCGCTGTCCAAGGCGCTTTCCTGAATGAGCGTACGGAGTTCAGCATAGTTGTGTGTAGATGCTCGTAGTAGCATTGCCATCAGCATCGCATCGCCCTTGCAGTCTTTCAGCCTTGCGATTATCAGGATGGGGTTGCTGCTGTAGCGAAGTCTTGGGGCTTTTGGAAATCGCTCAAAACCACTCCGAGCGAGTGCGAAGCTGCCTCAAGCTCTCCAGTGGCCAATCCATCAACAAAGTCAAGCGTAATCATCTCTTCACATATGTTTAGTTATGTAGATATGTGTAATGTGTGTGTGTATATATATATGTGTGTGTGTATGTGCATATAGACCGAGAGAGAAAGATGGACACAGACATTGCCTCGTAGGTACCGCTGATGAGTTAGATGTGCACAGATGCTGTTCTGAGGCGGTGTGCATACGAGCGCATGACATTCACATGTGCTTGAGGCCTGCGTATATCATGTTCTAACTTTTACTGTACATTTTTAGTCAAGTTTCTTCGTGGTCAGACTAATACTTGCACCGGGGCTTCCGGTGCTTTTGTCGCGATGTCCGACGTCCTGCTGGCGAAGAAATGGGAGAATGAAGATCCCACAGGATGGTGGATGTCAGAGAAGCTGGATGGCGTGAGGGCAGTTTGGCGGAACGGAGAGTTTGGTTCTCGGGGGGACAACACCTTCGCCTGCCCGGAGTGGTTCAAGAAGAAGATGCCAAAAGGCTGCGTACTCGATGGGGAGATCTGGGGAGGTCGTGGTCAGTTCCAAAAGACATCGGGTATTGTTCGGAGTGCTGGGCGCCACAACGAATGGGAGTTCTTGACATACATGGTCTTCGACTGTTTGGAGGAAGGGGGAGCCAGCATTGAACATAACCCTTTCGAGGCTCGTATGGATGCTGTGCGCCGCATCTGCGCATCTTCGACCTTGAAAGATCCTGCTTTGAAGCCAGTTCCGATGGAGAAGTGTGCAAACCGAGCACACCTCGACTCATCTCTGGCAGAGATCGAGAAGCGTGGTGGAGAAGGTCTCATGCTACGCAGCCCCGGATCCAAGTATGAGCACCGCCGATCGAAGTCGTTGCTGAAGGTGAAGACCTTCTACGATGAAGAGTGCATCGTTGTAGGACATGCAGGTGGTACGGGCAGGGTGGCGGGGATGTGCGGCGCTTTACTCTGTGAAACACCTGACAAGCGGCGTTTCAAGGTCGGTTCCGGTCTCAGTGATGCACAGAGGCGGGACCCTCCGCCATTGAATTCTGTCATCACCTATCGCTACCAAGAGCTCACGCAAGACAACATCCCAAGATTCCCAACGCTAGTGGGCGAGCGGAGCGACATGACGTGGGCACAGATATGTTCTACCTACGTGGCTCCTGGCCCTCGAAAAGCTGGAGCGATGAAAAGGACACATACCATCCTCTTTGATGCGGTGGAGCCATTGGCGCAGGAGGCTTCGGGGGCTTCGGGGGCTTCGGGGGCTTCTGGCTCTGCGTCTGGCTCCCGTCCAGCTTTGAAGCGGGGGCTTACGGCAATGGATGCGATGCAGCGGGGAACAGCGGAGGAGGATTTGGATGACTTCGGCTTCGACGACATGCTGCCCCCTGTGCCCCCCGAAAAGAAGGCGCGCCTGACACCAGCAGAAGTCCCTGCGCTGGAAGAGCGACCGGTCTGCCCATACGGCCGCCGTTGTTATCGGAAGAACCCTGCCCATTTCTTAGAGTTTGACCACCCGTGGTTGGATGTGGAGAACGAAGCTAAGGACATCGACGCTGTTGCCCTGCCCAGCTTGGCCGGAACGCAGGAAACAGGTCCCGTCCTATCGAAGGGAGCCGTTCCAGCACCAGAGCCCAAGTCATCCGTTGACGCGCAACCTGACGCTCTGCACGAGCGCACCTGGACCAAAGACCCGGATATGCGGATGGTGGCAGTCCGGAACCTCTTATCGAGCATGCTTGAAGATGCTGAGATGCCGGAGGCACGTAAGCACCTGCAGCAGATGTTAGACTTCGCGGACTCCGTGCCTTCCGTGCCACAGGGATCGCCGGCATCCGTGGCACCGGCTGCACCAGCACCGGCAGTGACAGGAAGCGGAGACCGGGAGCGGCCACGGAGTCTCGCCTCCGCACTGCTGTCCACCACCACCTCGGAAGCGCTGTTTGAGGTGCCCCTCCTTGAGGCGCTCGGCAGTGCGAGCCCCGTGCCAGCGCCGGCGGCGCCGGCAGCCGGTTCCGCCAGCTCGGCAGGCGTGTCAGAGCGAAAGGAGGATCCACAGTCAAAGCTGGCATCCGAACTGACAACCATGGGCTTCCCCGAGGAAGGAATCCGTGAGGCCCTGCTGCACTGCAGCACCGCAGACGAAGCAGTAGATTGGCTGCTTGCCCGATCAGCTTGAAAGAAGCTCGATCTGTCATTGCCACGTCCAGACATGTTTTGAGCATTAAACGCCATTGTCAAGACTGTACAGCGCTTGACCTTAAGACGCCATGCTGCCGGCAGACGTATCGAGCAAAATGTCGTCTGTCATAGGATTCCGCCGCACATTCTGGTGCTCAGATCTTCCTAGTCCTAACTCTTCAACACCAAGATATGCACAGAGTCCTGGAGAAGGGTCATGAAGAGTCCATTCTGTGTCGAGTCAGTGTAGAGGGTGCCTTGCTGGCAAGGACATCGTGAAAGTCGCCGGCAGAGCAATGCGGCAGAACTTTGCATCTCGACTGCAGCTACAGCCAGCCTACTGTCATCTTGGCTCCACGGGGCAGCCGAACAATGAACTCTGATGCCTTACAACTTGGATGCATCCAAACGACGCACGGCATGTACACCACCTTGGCACACGCCTTCTCGCACTTTTCAGATCTTCCGAAGCTGACCAGACGCAGACCTGCTGCAAGTTGTGTTCGGGTTTACAGGTGCAGCTTGGCCCTCATGTGCTGCCCCTGCGAGAGCAGGCGAAGGTTTTGTGCCACCCAGCTGCAGTGTTTACTTCAGAAAGTGCAACAGCCTGCCCCATGTGTCGACGCATATAGCATCCAATCCATCTTCCAGTTAAAGCCAAGGACCTTAAAGCCCAAGCCCTTGATTGGTGAGAGAGGATAAGTAGTTGTTGGGTCGCCAGCTTGTTTTGGCCCCGACGGGCCAAGTGTGCACATGCGTCAACTGGACAGTCTGAGCTCAAGCGCCGAATAGCCCCTAAACCCGAAGCATTCCTAGGCCGCAATCATAGTCTCGCATGCTCTTGCGAGTGGCATCTTGAGGGGGACATCTCCCTTCCATCCTTTGCATCCTTCATGCTTTCTCTCGAAACGTGGGGAGTCGGGGCAGCTCGACAGAGGCTCATTATCTCGCACACACCGACAGGACTTCCGTGCTCCCTGCATGATGCAGAGTTGTTTGAAGACAAGAGACAGTCAGCGCGCACACGGTGGTGCCCCAAAGACAAAACAAAAAGACAAAGCAAGTCTGTCAGTGTGTGTGGGAATGCCCTCCTTCCATGTAGCCAGGCACACCCGTGTCGCGTGAATCACTTAGGCAACCAATTCGTCATGAGGCTCGTCTCTCAGGCGAAGAAGAGGAGCAGCAGCTTGCTTTTGTGTTGCGTTGTCGTGCAGTGCAGAAGTTCGCATACCTTTGCTGGCCCGGTGTCCTGCGATGGTCCAGGAGCTGGCCCTTTGCCGACCGGCTTAGTGTTCCGCAAGGCTACACTCCTAACTTCAGCAAAGGCATCTTGGCTAATCCACTTGAGGCTGCGATCGTTCTGGTTTTCGGGCACTGTTTGATCTGCTGTGGGCGTTGTGTGTTTGCTTTACGTGCTCATGCCATTGTTTCTTCATGCCGTTTTTTGGCTCAAGACTGCGGAAACTGCAACCCATCCGCAAGAGGAGCGCATAGGACGCTGTTTTCCGTGGGACTTCTGGCTGCATCGGGTGCAGGTTCTTCGTGTCAGCCTGTGTTCAGTTGAGCGGTTGTCCATCGAAAGCTAAGGATCCATCCACGCCGTCACATTGCGGTCCCAATGTTTTCTGCCACTGGGCATGTCTCGGAGAGAAAAGTGGAGACTGCCAGCCATTCGCCAGCGCTCAGGTGAGATTCTTGGTCGCCTTGGCGATACATGGGCGTGTTTTCGCCGTTGATGTGTCTCATCCGGATGCTTCCCCTGGCCATATGGAGGCGACCATCCTGGCAGATGCCTGGCTTGCATATTCATATATATGTATATATAGCTATAAGCTGTAGCTCAGGTGCAAGAAAACTGCTGTACTTGTTTGGAGTACGGACGGATCAGCTGGAACTGTGTGATCCAAGGAGGGAGAGTCGCAAATCCGAAGCGTCGTGCGCAAGGACTGCGATTGCAGTGGCTTTCAGTGCGAAGTGGTCTCGACTTGCACTTCAAAGAAGTGTGGAGGAGAACGTGTCAGCAGAAAACGACGAAGGCAAGTCTTGCAAGTGAGCCTCGGGGAAAACTCAGAGAGCTGCTTTAGGGGGTTTGGAGTCTCAAGAGTCTCAGAAGGCTCCGGGCTATTAAATGGTTGGAGTCGGTCTCCGTGCTGTCTTTGCAAACAAATACACTCCCTGGCCAATGTAATCACACTGCGGCATCATGCGGCATCTGCATTTTCTGTAGCATCCAAAATCGCCGTGGTTTCACAGAAAGGCTGCAGTTCTGAGGCACAGAGGTCGACCTCAAGGGAAAGAAATGGTCACCGGGTGGCCTGCAGCAACCTCGCTGCATCTTTCTGCTTCCTTGCGTGTCCAGATCAGATGAACCAGATGCAACTGGCTGTGAGGATAGATTGCGTACTTGCCTTTGTGATTCCTGCTTCTCAGGAAGTGTGTGGGCAGCTGCACAGATGTGAGGAAGAGCACCTCCAAGAACGATTGCCCAAAGCACTGGAAAATTATTTCGCCACGGAACGAGGAAGTCTGCAAAACCTGGCATGTCGAGAAAGCGCGGACCTTCCGACCACGCCTCTTGCGCCAGGAAGATTGGAAGACCTTGATCGACTTAGACGTTCTTAAGGAGGTCGCAGCCCCACACCTGAGCCTTGATTCAGAAAGGTATCATCACAAGAAATATGCTCTGCTGTGTGTAGTGTAGTCTGCGAGATGATTTTGCGTGCAATGGCAGAGAGGCAGAGAGAGGGAGGGAGACAAAGCGTGTTTTTGGCTCAAGCCACGAGTTCTCAAGCCCCGAGCCCTGAGCGAGAGAGCGCTCGCGCAAGCCTGCGAGGGAGAGACGAAGCGCCATCGACCTGCACGGTACCAACGCCGCTCTGCACGCTGCATCTGCCTCGCATCGCGCCCCGCCCACTGACACGCGCTTCGCCGCATCGACTTCGGTGGGGGGGGAACCCCGACAACTACCTGACTGCGCTATTGATATTGGCACCGGGGACTTCCTGGAAGACAAGATGCCTTTCCCGACTCCCCGACCCCAGCACCCACTCCCACGCCCATCTACGACTCGCTGCCACCACCCTCGCAAACGAAGGGCCAGGGGCGGAGCACCGACTTGCTCAACCTCATGTTTGACGGGCCCGGGGGGGATTACCGCCTCAACGCACCCGCCAAGCAGCAAGCTCGTCAGGGGGAGGGTCGGGGAGCAGCGGAGACCGTCACGATGGATACAGATGCAGCTTCAGCAGGAACACCAAGCCCTAACGGGGGAGATGCACCGAGCAATGAGCCAGGTCAACTCCCGCGTCGACGACATAGAGAAGATCCTGGGCGAGAATAGCTCAGTGATGCAGTGCGAATGCTGCAGGCAGTCGGAACGGCCAAGGGGAGCGCTTGGACGCTGACGCTCGACCAAGCGCACAAGATCCTCGTGGGGATGGACGCCAGCGATGAGTTCCGGGAACGCAAAGAGGGGACGATGGCAACTCAAGACGGCAAAGCAGCAGATGACGGGCGCCCTCGACGCACAGGAGGACCACCATCAGGCCATCAGCAAAGCTGCAGCTCACATCTCCGAGCCTCGCAAGGGGGAGAAATTCCCGGAAAGCTCTGCCCTTAAAGCGTTACGACGAGAAGCTCTACAAGCAGGCCCCCGAGAAGACCGCTGCAGACTTTGGAAAGCAGTATGCCAGCAGCGCAAGGGGAAGCACAAATTGTGGCTTCGAGACCCAAGTCACTCACTGGGGTACCGACGCCACAGCCGAGGGGGGCAATGAGGTCTCGTCAGGGGGCCGGCAGAGCACCGAGGAGCTCCGGAAGAAATTCATCCAGCAGATGTGCTTCAGCTCATCCAACAAAAAAAAGACAAACCGCGCCGAACGACCGCGACCACCGAGTGCCCTCCACGTGTAGCTACTTTCCTTGGGGGGAAGTACTATAGAAGAGGCGAGCATGGCCCTGTGCCACCTCCACACGTGGACTGAGGAGCACTGGGGGGGCAGCGTACGATGGCTCGACAGTGGGGACGAGCACAGCAAACCCCCACAACATCCTCCACAAGAGAAACCGGCAGCCAGCTCTACGGGGGGACGGAGGCTGGGGGACAGCAGCATCTACGACCTCACCAACTACACGAAGGGGCGGCCAGTTCCTCAGCCGCCGTGCCTACGCGACCCGGCGGAAGATTGTCTGAAAGCCGCGCAACAGCGCCATGGACCGAAGACGGCGCAGCTTCACCAGCCCAAGTTCCGCTGATGTTGAAGACTAGGCGGCTTATTCTAGTTCGCTTGCGTGTTTAAGGGTTTTAACTTGTGTTGCCGTCACTCAACGGGGAACAGCGCGTGAAGCTCAAATCTGCCCAGACCATGCGACCAGCAAACTTCACCTGTTGGCCTGGACTTCACCCGTAGGCAGTCAGATGTTTTGTTTTGGATCACTATGTGGAATCATGTAATGTCATGCAACAGTGCTGTTGCTTCCATGGTCGCCTAGAGCTGGCTCCCAGACAAGAAGTTCAGTGATGGGATGGGAAGGTGAAAGCAGTATCGCGCGAGGCTTCAGTCAGTTCGGGATGGGGCGGGAAGGCAGGTAAGGCGGGGGTCACTTTGAAGTGTTGCTAGACCGAAAGAATGGAGCTCAATCGGTCTCCCACAACACCGAGCAATGTCGCTCAGGGCTTGACCACTTTTTAGGGGGGCTTGCTTCATTCGTGTTCAGGGGGGCTTGGTAGGAGGTCTCTAAACAGAGGGGTGCGCCCCACCAAAGAAGGCGAAATCGCCGGCAGTCACTAAAGCATGCTACTTAGAAAGCTTATTGCCGCGTGCTGCGTGTTCCACTGTTGGGTACGCCGGCTCTCCTGTAGCTGTATCTGGAAGACCTTTGGATGGCTCTGGCGGTGCCGACGAAGTTTTGTCATTGCCACGGTTTTAGCAGGGGTGTTCCTTCGGGTCCGGGTTCACTGGCACATCGGAGGGAACAAGATCGTCTTCATCCCCGAAAGGGGCCTCGCAGACTCACCGACCGACGCAGACGGAGTGGAGTGGGATAGCCAGGGGACTCAGTCCCCATACCCCTAACAAGCAAGCAAGCAAGCCAGAGAATGTGTGTGCGTGTGTGCGTGTGTGTGCGTGTGTGTGTGCGTGTGTGTGCGTGTGTGTGCGTGTGTGTGCGTGTGTGTGCGTGTGTGTGCGTGTGGGTGCGTGTGGGTGCGTGGGTGTGTGTGTGTGTGTCTGTGTGTC